GTTTGTATCCACAATTGATATCTTATTAAAACCTACAAATAGACTTTTGAGTTGGTGAAGTCCTAGGAACTTGTCTAAGTACACTTTACCGCTAAAAATGTTATCATTCAAGCGGAGAATTTGGAGACTTTTGAAATTGGAAAATAAGCTTGGAATTGGTCCTTGTAATTGATTCTCTGAAAGGTCTACGAACGTTAGTTGGGTCATGTTCATAAACGATGACGGGATATGACCAGAAAGAGAATTACTTGGCATATCGAATATTCTAAGCTTTGTTAGGTTTGAAAGAAAGGACGGGATTTCACCGAATATGTTCCCTCGAGATCCATATAACTGTTTGAGCTCAGTCAATTTCCCAATCCAATTGGGTAGGATCCAATTTTCAAACTTGTTATTAGAAAATTCCAAAAGATGGAGTTTTGAAATGCTTGCCAATGAAGGAATGGTTCCTGTGAACTCATTAAACCCAATAGTCAATTGAACGAGTTGTGTCATGTTAGCAACTTCACTTGGAAGGGGTCCTGAGAACAAGCAGTTCGAAAGATCCAGTGTGATCAAGTGAGTTAGGCTACCGATGGATTCTGGTATATCCCCAGAGAAACTTGTGTTCCATAGAATCAAATGCTCGAGTAAGCTGTTGTTATGAAATTCAGGCAAGGAACCAGTGAGGTCCATATTCTTTCCCAAGTTAAGAAATTTAAGCTTTGGCAGTTGAAGAATGGTTGTAGGGAATTCATTCTGAAGCCAACAATGACTGAGATTTATAAACCTCAAGGAAGAAAAATTGCCCAAAAAACCAGGTACCGAAGAGCGAATGTCAACCCCCGAGAGATCAAGATCTTCAAGCCGAGTTAAGTTTTGCACTAGATTCTCAAGACTAGGACTTTGAAGCTCTAGCGTATTGCTTGACAAATCTAACAAAGACAGCTGTATCAACTGTGAGATCTCTCGAGGAATTTGGCCACTGAATCCAGAAGCAGAGAGATTGAGGCTTCTTAACTGCTTTAAGCGCCCGATTTCAGATGGGATTTGAGATTCAAGAAAGTCATTCTCTGCTAGGTTGAGCGTTTGAAGATGAACAAGGCGGAAGAGGAGGGTAGTAGAGTTGATAGGGCCACGAAGAAAGCTTTTGCTCAAGTCAAGACCAAT